TCTTCTATCATTAATGGGAGATGGAAGTGAAGAAGTAATGTCGTAAAAAGGAACCAAAGCTTAATCATCTTTAAGAACTGTGAATCTATTTGATACAACGTGCCGTTCTAAGAAGTTCACTTCATATCAATCAACTCTTCTTATAATTTTCGCTGCCTAATTTCTGACACTACTTTTACCGTAAACTTTGTTATTATAGAACATGTTTCTGGAAGTTCTTTGTAATCAAAATTTTTCTCATCGTTGATGAAAATTAATTAATCTTCTGATAAATTATCTTTACATTCAATTCGATCCTCCTCCATATCCCTAATCGTTGGGCAATCATGCATCTACCATCTATGGCGCAGGATAGTTTTTTGATGTTGATGGTTATAGCTCTAGGTTGCCTTTTTGATGTGGATAGTTAGTTGCAGCTCTGGATATGAATAATTATTATAGATGGTGGGAGCCGGTTGATCCATTACGTGAAAGGAGGAAAAGTCTTCTTCTTTGAAGATGTTTCGATAAAATGGCATTATCTCAGTGCATCTGGAACCTGATTTTTGTGTTTGTTGGTGCAGCGGTTCCAACCCAAGCTTGTTAACATATCACAAGCAAATCCCAGAGCACCACATCCCGAAACACCTTGCATCATTCTCTTGGCGTCATAGCGTATGCGGGGAAACGGAAATGCTCAAATTGGCGACAATGCTGTTCCGCTGGAAGAGATTATTCCTACTTGCGTAGGTAATCAATTCACCTCTTTCCTCTTTCACGAGAAGTGGCTTCTTTCCAAACATTTCAGGAACTCGTTGTACCGTCGTTACACCAGTCTACAAAAAAGAATTTAAAATAACATGAGTGGTTCAAAAAAGATTAAATTTTACCTCATCTAAATTATAAATTTGCATGAGTTCTAGAATTCGTTTGAGCATATTCATAAACTAATCGCCTTGTTGCGTTTGGCTTCAGACCGTAAAATATAGAGGAACACTTCAGTGGATATTTCTCTTAAGCGTTTTTCATCTGCATAGAAAAAAAAAACTTATGATGTTATAAAATTTGGTGTAACATAACATTTTCGAGGCCTTTTTCTTGGACTTGTCTGACATAGTTCAACCCGGTAACCAACACTGGATTTCTTTACTCCATTTTTTCCTATCTGGATAGGACATGTTATTGTCAATCACATCAACTAGCTTGTTTCATGGAATCAAGTCAGAACTCCCTGTCAGTCTTTTTCTATGTTCTTATTGTTATGTTCTTGCTGAACTGAAATGGAATATAATAATATGTTTCAACCATCATGTTTCCATAAGTTTTTGTTGCTGTTTTTCTTTTTGAAGGGAAGCTATGGACAACAAGGGGAGATCCTGTGCAGCCTCTCCCCTAGTGCACTTTATCGGATTAGCTTAAAAATATCAAAACCTCCCATTGGTATTTTCGTTCTGTGAGAACATAACTTTATCGGTTAACCTTGCTTTCTACTCTGACACAAAAAGTTAAACAAATAAAATTAAAATAAACAATAAAATACTTACCTCGCTTTTTTGAAATATTAGATCAACAATGCCAAAAATACAAAATTCCCATGAAAAGCTTTTTCAAAAAAAAAAAAATATTTCACAAAAATAATCTGATCTGTGCCGGTTGACCATTCTGGAGATACTGTTGGCACCTTGGCGTGATAGATCAGAAAGCCGCAAGAGGCGGGAAATATTAGCGTGTCCATTGTCTCCCAGAGTCCCGATCCTATCCACCCTCCCCTTATAGTTTTGTCAAAGTAATAGTTCAAATTCAGATCCGTTTTTAGTCCGTCTTATTCAGCTTCCACCATTTCACTTGAAGAATTAGATACCTCCTCAGATTCAGACAACATTTCTGAATCCGATTCGGAATCGGATTCTCCAAGAGAAATAATGAACGGAGGAATATTTTTGAATGGTAAGTTTCCCATGTATTTTGTCCAGTCTTCTGAAATAAGTCTGTCACAATGTCTACAAAAATTCGTCCACATGTCTGAGGTACATTTTGAAAGAGACTCACGCCATAGGGGAGACCGGGGCTTAAAGTCTCACAGGTTAAAAGTCACAAAATCTTTTTCTGGCACAGTAAATATAGCATCGTCGCCATATTCATACGCCAGGAGCGCTGGTGCTAGTCGCATGTGTATCTTTTTACGAGTGAATTTGTGAAAAAAGCCAATGTAAGTAATTTTTTGGACTAATAATACAAACCGTATATTTTATCTCAGTGCTAAATTTCAAAAATGCCGTATTATATTTATGATACCCCTACTTGATCTCTAAAAAGTCACCATAACTTCAATAAATCATACAGTTAGATTAGGTACATATTTTAAAAAGAAAATAACAGGACCGTTTGGGGTAACTGTCTCACACGTTGTGGGGCAAGTTGTCTTATGTGACTTTTTACCCCGATATTGAAATAAATATAGCTCTAAACAGGATTTAATTTTTAGATGGTGCGCGATTACAGGAAAAAAAGAGATCGAGGCAGTTTTGATAAGGAATCGGTGTAACGCAAAGAGAAAAAGTGTAAAGAAGAATTTAACAGGAAATATAAGAGGGTCGAATAATAAAAATAAAAATGGAAAAAACAAAAAAAGTGCTAAAAAGGAGTCCTCTGAAGAATCAGAGCAAGATGATGAAGAAACTTTTCGTATTGTTTGCCTTGAACCATTTTCCAATAGTTCATCAAAAGAAGTTTGGGCTCAATGTACAGGGTGATCCAGTATAAAGTGAACACCCCCTACCTTTTAGCTAAAAAAAAAAAAATTCAAAAAATCAAGATAGCCATTTGGTGTATTTTGTTTCTAGGTGTTTGAGAACGTTTTTCGAAATTTAATTAGATTTTTCGCTAAAGCGCTGTGACCAAAAAACTAATTTTTTTAAATGGAATAGCCTATATTTAAATCAATTTTTCAAACATCCCTATTTTTCTCATTTCAAATATATAGTTTGTTTATCTTTATTTTAAACATTTGCGATATATTCTCACTTGAAAATTCAAATAAAAATAGCCGAAAAGGTATCAAGGTAAATCTAAATAATTTTACCTTTAATAAAGCTGCTAGTGATTATGTTTAATGATACCTTTTCGGCTATTTTTATGTGAATTTTGAAGTGAGAATATATTGCAAATTTTTGGAATAAAGATAAACCAACTATATATTTGAAATGAGAAAAATAGGGACGTTTAAAAAATTGACTTCAATATAGGTTATTCCATTTAAAAAAAAAATTTTTTGGTCACAGCGCTTTAACGAAAAATCTAATTAAATTTCGGAAAACGTTCTCAGACACCTAGAAACAAAATACACCAAATAGCTATCTTGATTTTAATTTTTTTTTTTTTGTTTTTGCGAAAAGGTAGGGGGTGTTCACTTTATACTGGATCACCCTGTACAGTCTGCAAGTTATGGGCCCATGAACAGTCTCGGTACACCGTGGTACGTCTGTCAGAACTGCGAAGATGATGACGACATCGATTGAGAAAATTGAAATAAAGCGTATATTATACATTATTTCCCTTTCTTACCTGCATTTTTGCATTCTTTCAAATAAAAGCTAACCAAATATTTGTGTGAATTTTTACCCCTTTCCGTGAGACAACGTGCCCCATGATGAGGGCAAGATGTCACACTTGCAACAATTTGTGTTTAGCAAAAAAATATTTAAATTAACGTTATTTATGCATAAATTTATAGTGTCTTTGTACAGACAAATGACAGTGTGACAAACTGCACCAGAAGTAACTTTGATAGGATTGAATATGACTTCACAAAAAATTCACAACCAAATTTTGTGACTTTTAGCCCCGGTCTCCCCTATTATCCACCGTTTTTCATCTATGATATTTAGCGAAGTAGAAAATTACTATGCTAGCTTCCGCAACGAAAATTGAAGCCATCTATAATAGGATTAAAAGACAATTATTTTATATATCAATTTGAAACGATTACCTCTACCTACTGCGCTTTTATTGAAAAAGTTGTAATTTAAGTAATTGCTAATGTATAATGACATAGTAGTTAATTAAAAGTTTTTAATAAATGCTTGCATCGCAAAATCACATTAATAATTATTATGTACCTTTCCAAAATTACAATGCAGTTATATTTCTGCATAAATAGAACGATGTAGCAACTTGCAGTTTTAGTAGACAGGTATGTTTTAAAATGGAGCTCGTGAAAGTTTTAAAAATCCTTCTATTGATTTCACTATACAGTGTAAGTATATGCGTTCTTACATTTTAATTTCTTTTCAACAGTTTGTCTGAGCATTTTCCAAAATTTTTCTATACCTACATTTATATATTTTTAGATGAATGAAGTACCCCTCGAAGTACCCCATAACTCACTAGTGAGATAAAGTCATAACTGATTATTGGTTTTTTAAATTTATCTCACTGGAAGAAAAAAAAACTATTTAAAAAATTCTTTACATAAGTACTGCCCTTATCTTCTACGTCTCAAAGACCGATATCACCACCACCTGAAAGAAAGATTTTTTGTTTCGAATTTTGAGTAGACGCATTTGGAAGTCACTACTTAAATTAGGCAAAAGATCGTTATTTTAAGAGTTTCTTATTTTTTTTTTTGAATAACTCCCTTCGGTTTCGGTGGGCTTGAAGCTTTAAGTAATCTGAATCATTCGGATTCACTCTTCATAGTTTTGCACATTGGTTCTGATTGTACTGCTGTTCCATTTGTCTGATCCTGGTGGACATTGATAAATCCGAAATTGTTCAGTTTTCTTCTGTGAATCCTCTTAAATCAGTTATCACTATGACTGATTGACATGACTATAGCACGTAAAAGGTGTGTTGGACATTTACGGGATTGAAGAAATACCTACTCTTCTACCCCAATATTACCTTTTCCTTTGGGTTGAAATACACAAAAAGGTAAAATATAATCCGCCATCAGTTTCCCAAATATAGTCATCGACTTAAGTGTACACATCACTTTACTAATCAACGCAAAAGAGTATTAGATTTTCACGCCAACTGCCTTGAAAATCATGATGTCAAAGAACAGATATTAGTTGAAGCACTCGATGGAAAAGTTGACCACGATGATGACTTTTATAAACACATCTTTTGCGTAACGAAGAAAGCCAATCTTATTGACGACAATGGCGTGGTAGACACCAGCAATTTTGAAATCGATATGGCTGCAGTTATAGATCCCCATAACATGGATAATGTAGCTGCGATTGTCAGAAAATGTCTTATTGAAAAAGATGATATCATGACGACTATTAAAGAAGCGGTGCAATGCTTTTTCAGCGAAGAACATAATCTGTAATGCCACTAGTTTCTTCTAGGAACAATATTTTAATGTACACTTCAGGAATTTTACAAATAAACACCAGCATCCATCGTTTTCCCTCGATTTATCATTTCAAGATTTCTAGTCCAAAACATTTAATTTATTAAATATGGGGAAAATGCATCAGGATTAGTGATGCTTTCTCCAAATTTATAAAATATTAAAGTAGTTAAAAGGCGATGCAGGTCAATTCGAAGTGCTTCGAAGAGATAGGTATCACCAGCTGTTTAAACAAAATAAATGTACTTATTTAGATTTGTAACTGTATTCTCCAGTACACAAATACAGGGTTATTACAGAAGAATAATCGGGTTTTCAAAATTTATATTTCCGATAAACTAGCAAATGACATGTTCATACAAATGAAAAGCCTGGACTATCGTTAGGACATTTTTCGTGTGACGCAAGGAGACAACATCGAACATTTATAATGATAATATGTACAAAAACATGAATATTTTCCACTTCCAATGACAAATCATTGACTTTTATAGTAATTTATGCATCAAGGGAATTATGAGGGTGTTAATACCCCAGGGCAAAGTTTGTGTCTCGAAGGCCTTGGCCCGAGGTACACCAATTGCCCGTGGTACATAGATACTGAATTTACTGTATCTTGTCCATTTTTATAACGGAATAAACCATAAACCAAAATTTCTATTTTTTCTCAAAGTTTTACCTATTCAAGATAAAAGCGGGAATTATGAAAATCCTTAACTCCCGCGCGGGAATTATGAAATCCTGTTTATGATTATCGTAACCAAGTTATTATGCATATAATAGTTCAGTAGGAAATGAAATTTATAATACTTTCTGAAATATATATTTTCAAAACGATGAATCTTTTGTAATAACCCTGTAAGTATATTGAAACATGGTAAAGCAGCTTGTTTATTTCTTATACTTGGTAAATCTGTTTCATGACGGATCAGTCAATGAGTCAAATGAATGAAAACGCACCGTGTATTGTAACGAATTGATCGAAATTTGTTAGAATATCATGTACCCACCTACCAATTATGTATATCTCTTCGCATCATGTTTCAACTTCCTTGGGTACTGAAAATCTTCACATTTGGTGAGGTAAAAGGTCGGAGAATCAAATTGCCTATTCAACACGCCTGATGTGTTTTTTCCATTTCTTGATTGTACCTATATTTTTGTGATAATCTAAGAGAAAACAGGATAGGTATATATACTGTATTTTTTCCCAAGATAGATTTTGCCATTGTCAACTTTGAAACATAAACAATGCCGCTTATTGGTCGCAAGCTGCAGGTCAAAATCCATCTTGGGAAAAAATAAACCTTAGTAAAAATAACGTGCACTCGACATGACTGGGGCCGGATTTTCGTCTAAGAGAGTAGAGCTCCCCGATTGAACGAATTTTCTGTCCTTCTCAACGTAATCAAAAAGTAAACGAAAATGATAAAAACGAAAAATTTGTTCTCTCGGGGAGCTCTACTCCCTGGCTCGAGAATCGGCCCCCTGATAGATCGGTTGATATAGTCGTATTCACGATAGAGTTTAAATTTTGACCGTTATTTTCACCAGTTGAAAGTAAATAAAATCCCTAGATCTGTCCCTTTTTCTGTCAACCATCAAATAATGATACATGACATTTCGATTTGACATAAAATTATCAGATTCGGATCTTATGGCGTTTCCGATTGGTAGATCTAGTGCGGAACTAGTGCACTTTTTTCTATTTCTGTCATTTTCTTCTACAGGTCGATTAAAAGGATGCAAATACACTCAGTGCGCACTGAAACTACCAATCGGAAACGCCATTAGAATTTTGAATTTCGAATTTTTGCGCGAGATCGTTTTAGTTTATTGCCGTTTTCTGCATTATTTTTTGATATTTTGTTATATTCTCAATCGGTTTTATGGTTTTTTATGTAGTGTTCTGTGCCTTTGTGTTTCGGTGTTGCGTTTCATTTCTAACCTGGTTTTAGTTCGGATTTAAGTGTTTTTTCTTTTTATAAGTGTTCACTTTGGACTCTATCAAGACTTATCTGGTTTATTTTATCTTCTTCAGGTAAGTTAAACCTAATTTTTACACAATATTACGATTTTAAAAGTGCCGTTTTCTTATTAGCGGTGACAGAAAAGTCCCCGGACAAGTCCGATCGTACCAGGGTCCTGGAGACTCTGCTCTGTTCCAGCATCTCAGATGATTTAGGTGTGAAGAAAATACGGTAAAATTGGCAACTTTAAATTACCACTGTCATAATTCATCGCCAATAATTTTCAGGGAACAGCAATAAACCTTGGAGATGCTTCTTCTTTACGAGACGAATCTTTTTTTTTTTCTAAGCAAGAGGGAAAGTGACAGTATTTTCAAATTTAGTAAAAATAAGCAAATAATCCTTTTGTAGAGACCAATAATTCATGGGAACCCTGTGGCTCAGCAATTTATACAACTCTTATACAACCATTTCAAGGTGTCTCATGAAGATCAAAATCCCATAACTGTAAGTTAATAACAATAAAGTTAGTCTTGATTGATCATAGAAACGTTTTCGTCTTAATCTCAGTAAATGTAGGTACAAGTTTTGGAAGGGGATATTTTCGAGCCGAGTGGCTTTTGTTAATTTTTAATAAATAAATTGTAATTTACTGTTCCATTGCCTTTCTAGGAGACAGCTAAGGTTTTGAAACTAAGTGAGACCACTGTCTATAAATATAAGGATGGTTCAGTTGAGTCTGAAATTACCCCTGTCACGCGGAAGCGTAAGAAGTTGCAGACACCTGATAAAAGTGGAAGCGTCAAACAGACTATTCGATTAGAGATATACAGAATGTATACAGAGAGTAAGTTGATGTTCTACTTTGAACATAGAGTTGTTTCAATGTTACTTCATATTAACATTACCAGTAGATTATTCCGAAAGAATACACCTGATAACATTGGAACTTCTCAGATCAAATTAAACTGTTTTTCATAGTTTAATACTATTTTTTATTTCAGGTCAACACAAATTAAGATGCTGCTAGGATTTCTTTCATTCCATAATTTCATGATGTTTTTTAGAATTGTTTTCTTGCTTTTCAATAAAGGTACCTGAGTTATTGGAGTCTTTCATAAGGATAAGTATTCATATTCCCCTCTTTGACGTACCTACACAGTTTGGGTTCAGATATTTGCAAAGCTTCTGTAACTTCTGCTGCATGCTTTATCCTGTGTGTTGGGTTTATTGTTTTTCAAATGTTTAGCATTTTGTGTTGTCATATTTTCTAGTGGACTTTGGTACCTCTAAACATGGTATCACTAATTAAACTTCCTATTTAATGTATCATCTAATATTATGCTTGTATAAATTATTTAGAGGGGCAATGTCCCATCTGTCGCCCACCTCTTACTGTTATTCTTCCTTTTTTATATTATTTAGCAGTTTTTGGTAAAAAACCCATTACTACACAGGTAATTGATTAATTAATAGTTAAATTTAATTATGCACGTCCACTTGTGTCAGTTGTCTCTTGTGTGTGATGTTTGTACCTGCGACGAAGCAGCACTGGTGATGACTTAAGGCCGGAAGCACTCGGCGGATTTTCTTAATAAATTATTACACAGAATGCATACTCCTCTCTTCTTCAATTATAAGTTTAAGCCATTTCACTAACACAAACCAGACTGGGTAATTTTAGTTCATTTTTGGGTAGTAGTATTTTTGTTATAGGGACTAGTGTTAAATAGTAATACTAAGTTACTTTGTTCAATTACCTTTAAGAGTTACGTTATAATGGTGTCACCAGCAAATTCCATAAGAATACACTCGGTGTCATTATTGACGAAAGTCTCAAAGCTAATTGAACAAGATATACTAACTAAAATCAGTAATATTTGCTGTTGCTACAGTACTACAATATTTAAACAAGCATTTTTCGTTTTTAGAATTGCATATGTTACCCTTAAGAATGTAAGTGATAGGCTGAAAGAAAGTGAAATTTATTACGGTTCCCAGTCAAGTTTAGGCAGGGTTTTGCTCACGTTAGGATTTACCTTTAGAAAGGATGATCCAAGAAGAGCCCTCATCGAAAAGCCTGATGTAAGCCACATGAGAAGAGTTTTTGGGTAGAAATTTTAGTACTGTATAATTCTATTACTGGAAAATTTGAGTAGAAATTTTAGTACTGTATAATTTTATTAATGGAAAATTTGAGTAGAAATTTAAGTACTGTATATTATTATTGGAAAAATTTGGGTTCATTTATTTAAAATTAAATATGTATAATATGTGTGGAAATACTGCAGTTGTTTCTCTCTTTTGCAAGTAAACCCCCTTCAGCATTTAATTCTGTAGCTACCCAAGGAAATAACTAGCATCAATAAACCGCTCGCATATACCATCTAACCTTTAAAAATCAACAGAGTACTTGGGCGGCCAGCTACAGCAACAACTATTAGAAAATATTACGTTTGTTCTATTACAGATGTTTAATATTACTATGCGGGATTTTAATAACTTGACTTCCTTTAAAGAATTTAAAAATAAATCTGGAATGCATATCATTTTCCTAAATACGACCCTGTCGTTTATCCCAGCTGGAGGAATGAAAACGCTTACGCATGCTGGCAACCTAAAGAAAAAAAATACTAGATATGTCAACGCGAACTGTCAACTTCACTTTCTATCGTGATTACGACTATATTTGAGAATTTACAATTTTTTTTATCACGGAGTGACCATTTACCTGAAGACTGCAAGAATGGCAAGAAGGCATTTGGTAGGAGGAGCTAATTTTGAACAAGCGTATTCAAGAAAACCTGCATCAGTGAGACAGGTGCCACAGAGAATTCAACCGAAAAAAGTGGAAAAAAGTTAATATTTTAACGAAAACCTAAAGCGAACATTGTGATTAATTTTGTCTTGAGATTTTTACAGAGAATTACCTATCACATATCCTCTACCAAAAACTGAATGGTTATAATAAGAATATCAACAATTTCGATAAATTTATTCACGGCC